AAAGGATATCTCAGGCTGTAGAGGAAAATTTGTTTGATATCTCGATAACAGAGGATATCTCGAGGTGTAGGGGAGCATTTGCTAGATATCTCGACATTATCATACAACTTCGATACATGATACTTGTGAATCTTCCACCTTTAGTTATGTTTAGTTTTGTTATTGACACTGGTAATATAGCTACTTTTCTTGCCAAAATTGATATAATTTTCGTCCTATGAGATCCATCCCCGGTACCAGGTGAACATCATATCTGTAAAATGCAGGCTGTCCATTTTCATATTTCGCCATATTCGTGTAACAAGAGTTTAGTATACAAAGTATTAATTAAACATCGTTAACACAGATTCTATTTAGTTTAACAATACATGTATGCGATGAAATACGAGATAATCCAGAAACATAGAATAAATCAAATTTTACAATACCAATAAACACGATTGATACAACAATCATACGCTTATTAGAAACAGGAAACATTCCGTTAATTCTATTGATATTTATATTGCACGCATCCTTTCATTTTCATGACTAATTATAAACTGCATTATTAATTCAGTATTTCGTGTTGATACAGCCAATTGATATTGACGACTGGGACATTTATCATGAAAACGATATCTCACGTACTCGTGTATACATGTATATATATATATATATATATATATGTGCAGATCTACGAAACGGGTCTATTGAGTAATGTAGAACAATTTCAATGAATGTGTTTTTTTTTATTTCCTTTAATTAATCGGGAAACCGTTTTTCTCAGTATATATTTAAAAATGAATTGCTAACTCCAAAGTTTACATAGTATTATTACTACAAATTCACTACTGTTTCAGGCAATCATAATTGTAAGTCCACTTTGTATTTTTTGTAAATCAGAGTCCGAAACCATAACTCATATATTTTGGGATTGTCAAAAAGTTCAAAATTTACTACAAAACTCGGAAATCTTCTTAAAAGCACCTTTGATTCCTTATACTATAAAAAGAATCACTATTTACAGCTTGTGGTCAAAAAGAAACGAGTTCATTAAAACTGATATTGAAATTAACAACATCATTGAACATGGTATTTACACTTTGAACATAAACTCTCTAATCAGTTTAATAAAAGACCATCACAATGTCAAAAAAATGCATAGCAACGGCTAAGGGTGATGCCTCTCTAGAAAGTTTCAATGGATAGAGGGGAAAATAGGGGGGGGGGGGGTGTACTTATTTAGACTTAAATTGAATAGATTTCTAACATGTCTGTCCATAACCATTCATATCTGTTACTGGTCTGTTGAGCTCTGATAGTTGGTTTAGAGTAAATGTTTTCAATAAAGTAACTGTCAATTTAATTTTATACTTTTTGATTTTTGGGGGCCTCTCTGAATCTGTCGACACGTGTCACTGTGTTAGTTGTCATTGTTTTCGTCTGTCTGTTCGTCTTACTCTATTTGTTTGCCTTTTAATGACCTGTCTATCTCTATTTCCTTTCTTTAAAAAAACACAACACATTTCTGACTAGTTTTATTGTTCTAAACTGACATTTTGGATCGATTGAAATCTTATGCATTGATAAGTAACTATCACACTATGGTATTTCCGTGTATATAATAAACTAAATGATAGTATGAGCGCTATTTATATACATGTGTAAACACTTCTGTACATGCTTACATGTATAGAGGTGAATATTTTGAACAGAACTGATGTGTATAAAATGTTACATAATTTATCTTTCGATATCGACGTATAGTGTATATGAAACCCCTAATTATGAATGAACTGTTCGATATGTTTTACATGAACACGCGGTGTATTTAATATCATGAATTATGATTGTATGATATATTTCATACGAGTAGTTGTATACATACGTCTTGTATGTATTGTATGATATGAATGCCACTATACAGATGTATGGTGTGAATTGTTTGATATGAATGTCACTATACAGATGTATGGTGTGAATTGTTTGATATGAATGTCACTATACAGAGTGTATGATGTGAATTGTTTGATATGAATGTCACTATACAGAGTGTATGGTGTGAATTGTTTGATATGAATGTCACTATACAGAGTGTATGGTGTGAATTGTTTGATATGAATGTCACTATACAGATGTATGATGTGAATTTTTTTATATGAATGTCACTATACAGATGTATGGTGTGAATTGTTTGATATGAATGTCACTATACAGAATGTATGATGTGAATTGTTTGATATGAATGTCACTATACAGAGTGTATGGTGTGAATTGTTTGATATGAATGTCACTATACAGAGTGTATGATGTGAATTGTTTGATATGAATGTCACTATACAGAATGTATGATGTGAATTGTTTGATATGAATGTCACTATACAGAGTGTATGATGTGAATTGTTTGATATGAATGTCACTATACAGAGTGTATGGTGTGAATTGTTTGATATGAATGTCACTATACAGATGTATGGTGTGAATTGTTTGATATGAATGTCACTATACAGAGTGTATGATGTGAATTGTTTGATATGAATGTCACTATACAGAGTGTATGATGTGAATTGTTTGATATGAATGGCACTATACAGATGTATGATGTGAATTGTTTGATATGAATGTCACTATACAGATGTATGATGTGAATTGTTTGATATGAATGTCACTATACAGATGTATGGTGTGAATTGTTTGATATGAATGTCACTATACAGAGTGTATGATGTGAATTGTTTGATATGAATGTCACTATACAGATGTATGGTGTGAATTGTTTGATATGAATGTCACTATACAGAGTGTATGATGTGAATTGTTTGATATGAATGTCACTATACAGAGTGTATGATGTGAATTGTTTGATATGAATGTCACTATACAGATGTATGGTGTGAATTGTTTGATATGAATGTCACTATACAGATGTATGATGTGGATTGTTTGATATGAATGTCACTATACAGATGTATGATGTGAATTGTATGATATGAATGTCACTATACAGAGTGTATGGTGTGAATTGTTTGATATGAATGTCACTATACAGATGTATGATGTGAATTGTTTGATATGAATGTCACTATACAGATGTATGGTGTGAATTGTTTGATATGAATGTCACTATACAGAGTGTATGATGTGAATTGTTTGATATGAATGTCACTATACAGAGTGTATGATGTGAATTGTTTGATATGAATGTCACCATACAGATGTATGGTGTGAATTGTTTGATATGAATGTCACTATACGGATGTATGATGTGAATTGTTTGATATGAATGTCACTATATAGAGTGTATGATGTGAATTGTTTGATATGAATGTCACTATACAGAGTGTATGGTGTGAATTGTTTGATATGAATGTCACTATACAGAGTGTATGATGTGAATTGTTTGATATGAATGTCACTATATAGAGTGTATGATGTGAATTGTTTGATATGAATGTCACTATACAGAGTGTATGATGTGAATTGTTTGATATGAATGTCACTATACAGAGTGTATGATGTGAATTGTTTGATATGAATGTCACTATACAGAGTGTATGGTGTGAATTGTTTGATATGAATGTCACTATACAGATGTATGATGTGAATTGTTTGATATGAATGTCACTATACAGAGTGTATGGTGTGAATTGTTTGATATGAATGTCTCTATACAGATGTATGATGTGAATTGTTTGATATGAATGTCACTATATAGAGTGTATGATGTGAATTGTTTGATATGAATGTCTCTATACAGATGTATGATGTGAATTGTTTGATATGAATGTCTCTATACAGATGTATGGTACACAAATGACTTGTATGAAAAGTTTTAATTTCAGTATTTTTATGTAGATCTATGGATGAATGTGCTGTGAAATATGGTATGCTATTGCCATGTGTATGTGCTTTGAACAACGGAATGAAAAATTAAATAAAAGTTTTTAAAAAATATGTCGATTAAAGTATGATAAAGAAAGGACAGAGAAAAGATTTATTAGTGATGTTGTTCAGGTGAAAGTATTTTGTTTATATGGGGCGACACAGTAGTAACTTACCGTTGTCTTATACCTTGATGTCGATTTCCCCGGGTATTCCGCCGGTTTTTAATTTCCTTACCCAGTACTAATTAAGTCCTTCCGCGACCTTCCACGCAGGCCGCCATGCAAAAGCTTAAAGTATGCTTTACAGATAAACAGAAAAAATGAAATAGATAAAATGTCATGCACTTATACCGCTTTAGCTGTGCTCAATTTTTGTTTTGTCGTGTTTTTTTTTGTTTTGTTTGTTTGCCTGTTTAACGAATTATGGACAAAATATGTTTAAAATGGTGATAGTTTGAACTCTTCTGACAAATACTACTCCATACTCATGCTGGACTGTGTATACTGCATGAGCTACGTGTACATACAACTGTATATAGCGCACGAGACATCTACTGTATGTGTACCTTAAAGTGTTATCGTCCATTTCAGTTTTGATAAGGTATAAATAAACATATAACACAATATTATCTTAATATCATATACCTTGTATCAGAGTAATATTTTGACAACATGCTTAATGAATTTGATGAGAGGGAAGATATTGATATGATTAGGTCACGTTTATTACCCTTCGTGTAGTTATGCCAGACTACATTTTAATGTTATATTATAATGCCCTACATGTATATATGCGTACAGCTTGCTATTCAATGCTAATGTTCTGTTGTAGTAGCTAACTCTGATTCGCCGTATGATTTAAGCTGTAAATTCTTGAACCATAAAATGACAACCACATGAGCTACTATTATGGACAAAGAACATAAAGCAAAATAAGGCGTTGGCTCGAAAATCACGTTTAATATTGTGAAATAGCCTACCCGCTTTACACGTACAAACAACATTCGGAAACACTCGACTGTTTCCGTGAAGTTCCGATATAAACAGCACAGGCAGCATTTCCGGTTGAGAGTGGCAGCAGTTTCAAGCACGGCAGTGTCATACAGTAGATTATAACACATCGCAAGTTAAACAATGGCACGTAAAAACAACGTCAAAACAGGTAATATGGACAGAAGAATGTTTCTTATTCATACTTTTCTCATTTGCAAGTGTAGTCTAGATGAAATATGCGTACAACACAGGCATGAACATTATGACTATTTGGCACCGAAAATTTCAAGAAACTCGACATGCTTGACCCCGTTTAAGATGGAAACCGTCTCGAGTTTCACTTTTATCTTTTCCACACATGTTCGACTGGGATTTGTGTGCATTTCTACCAAGTGTATACGTGTAGAGTGTGATATTTTCATGTCGTGTAAGGAATTAGTAATACGCAGAAATTCTCGAGTGGCAGTTGTAGAGTAGGCGGTGTCGAACTGTAAATTACGTAAAGAATAAAATTCGTTTTGTTCTCGCCGCACTTTAATATGTAAATTGTTTTAACACGAGTGTAATTTACCTTTGACAGGGGTCTTTTATATTTTCATGAGAATTTCATTTGTGTTTTCCAATTGTGTATTCCATAGGGATGCTATAAGTGTTACCACGGGTTTCTTTACTGTTACTTTTTTCAGTGCAAACAGGTTATTTGGTGAATAAATTCGATATTATGCGTTTCACTTTATTGAATACAGTGTAAGCAGAGAGAGTATTTGTTGTTGTTTAGAGATATTCATATCAGTAGATATTAATGAACTCAATATCAATTAATATTATTTCAATTTTTGTGCAGAATTTAGATGATGCCAGTTATTGTTAGATTGATAATTAATAGCTTATACAATCTTTCAACATATTATATATATATTGGACAGTTGTAAGTACAGGGACATGATCATTTGAAGGAAAGTCCTTACTGACAGATTCGGATAAATGGTTTCCCTTTACTGATAAACTAAATATTGGACAAACAACTAACATAGAGATTAAAAGATACCTCGGATTATTTCAGGATTTTCATTCAAAATGTACACAGTAAAGAACTTATTTAAATTGAAAAAGGACCAGATTAATATATAAAATGACCAATGCAAACTGTAGACTGCTACATCAGTAAAGGGTTTAGATCTTTTGAGGTACATTTAATGAAAAAATAAAGAAACATTCATCTGAAGTAGCTGATACAGAGAAAAAAATTAAGGTATTGTAAAAAATGTGTTACACTTCAGATGAATCATGAACTGTAGGTAGCCGGCAGATATTCAAGCTTAATATTGGCATTGTATTTGGATATAAATTTTTAGAAATGTACATATAATATTTAGTTTTGACGTAAAATCAGCCAAGGCCTACAGTTTGGCCAGTACGTGTGTACCTGAATTCAAATCATGTGCTACTTAATGCAGTTTCATTTGTTTCAAGTTTTCCTGTTTTTTTTATCGGTGTAATATTAGATGTCACTATTTATGGGTTTTTTTGTTTGTTTTCGAGGGACAAGTAAATGTAGATGATATAATGGGGGAAAGGAAGTACTTTTCCAGGGTGATACAGTAACACTATTTTTAGTCAATGTCAGGTATGAAAACTGTGACTCCTAGCTGTTTAGATGTATATTGAAGTGACATTTTTGATCAGATGCAAAACTTATTCGAAGTGAACTTGCAACTTCACATTCGATTTAAATTTTAATCATTTTACTTCTGTCAAATGAAATAAAAGTAAAGTATATTTCTAGTTGGATGATGTACAAAGCCAGCTTTATACACCTGTCATAGTGACACTGGCACTCAAAGACAGTAGGTGGTCTTGCTGCTATATAGAAAAGGAAGTAAGGACAACTTTGTTCCTTGTTCATGGAAAACAAAAAACACTCACGTTTATACAACTAAGTATAAACTCCATGTTCATGACAATTCTCATGGATAGACCAAGTCTTAAGACTTCAAGTAACCATCAGGAGGTCACTTTGCCCAAGCCAGATTAGGAAGTATTATTTACTGGTTTCAGGTATAGAAATATGCATTGAAACCATAAACCTACCTTACAAATAAATTGATATCCGAAACACTTTTTATCCTTAAATATCAAGTTTCAAGTTGTGTGTGTAAGATTGTTTATCTGATCAACATATTTTGCCATAAAAAAAGTCGTTCTCAAATTTCACATGTACCGGTATTTAAGGTATTTAAGTTCCCTCGTATACTTCAAGATTGAAAACCTCAATGTTAGAAAAAAATGTACCTACACATTTGTGCTTCTTCCAGGTTTATAGTCACTTGTGGAAAAGTCAAATGCAAGACAAAGTAAATTGTGTTTGTTTTTATGTCTCAGATTTAGTATAAAATTATGTGTGAACAAACCAAATCGCAATATTTTCTTCAGAGTAAAACAGCCATTGATAGTGTCTGTCCTATAATATGTTGACTAAGTTGTAATTTCACGTTGTTGTTTATTCAGTCATAATTCTTCAATTTATATACAGTGTTTCAGCAAGTTGATCAACAAAACATTTTAATCATTTAATGTTAAAATTTAATGATTTTTAGTATGATTTGTGTAATGGTGAATAAATTGTAAAATACCAGGTATGTAAAGAGCTCTGTGATAAATTCTCTATATTGCCTATGCTGACTTAATTATATGGTATCAGGAATGTATTTTTATCTCAATAGTCATTCTTAAGAAATCATCACTATCACTATCCCATGGTGTCCAAAATACTTTTGTAATATGTTGAAAAGTAAGGATTATCAATGTGCAATTTATGTATTAAAAAGTTAAAACTATAACTTATTAGTACAAAGGTAAATGGTCACTTGATCTTGACAAACAACAAAATCTGTTTTGGTGGAAGAGGATAACTGTAGAAGATAACTATTGACTCATTACTTCAGTAGTTCCAATTCTGAATTATACATAATAGTCAAGCGAAGTGAAATAGTGTGAGCTATGATGAATAGTATATAGGATATGAGTGGAATAGTGTGGGCTGTGTTGAATAGTATATAGGACATGAGTGGAATAGTGTGAGCTGTGATGAATAGTATATAGGATATGAGTGGAATAGTGTGGGCTGTGTTGAATAGTATATAGGATATGAGTGAAATAGTGTGGGCTGTGATGAATAGTATATAGGATATGAGTGGAATAGTGTGGGCTGTGTTGAATAGTATATAGGACATGAGTGAAATAGTGTGAGCTGTGATGAATAGTATATAGGATATGAGTGGAATAGTGTGGGCTGTGTTGAATAGTATATAGGACATGAGTGGAATAGTGTGAGCTGTGATGAACAGTATATAGGACATGAGTGGAATAGTGTGGGCTGTGATGAATAGTATATAGGATATGAGTGGAATAGTGTGAGCTGTAATGAATAGTATATAGGATATGAGTGGAATAGTGTGGGCTGTGTTGAATAGTATATAGGACATGAGTCTAATAGTGTGGGCTGTGATGAATAGTATATAGGACATGAGTCTAATAGTGTGGGCTGTGTTGAATTGTATATAGGACATGAGTGGAATAGTGTGGGCTGTGTTGAATAGTATATAGGACATGAGTGGAATAGTGTGGGCTGTGATGAATAGTATATAGGACATGAGTGGAATAGTGTGGGCTGTGTTGAATAGTGTGAGCTGTGTGGATTAGCATTCGTGTTTTCTGATTGGAATAGTGTGAGCTGTGCTAAGTGGATTGGCATTAATGTTATCCGAGTGAAATATTTTGAGCTGTGTTGAGTGGATTAGTATTAGTGTTACCTGAGTGAAATAGCATGAGCTGTGCTTCACTGATATAGAATTCAAAGTTTTTCATAGATATACATAATACTTTGTCAGGGTTTTAAAATATCAGCTGCATTTTGGCTTAGGACAGGAAGACAAAAGTGGCATGCCTCATTTATCCTGCAACATTGATTGAAAATCAGACAAAACTTACGCAGAAATAAAGTTCCAAACATCAATGGATATGACAACGATTTTATGAATTTTGGTAAATAAACTTATTCATTACAACAAATAAAATTGCTTATTTCATCAGTTATTTATATAATCTAATGTAATTTTGCAGTGAATTCAGAAAGAGGTTTTGTTGAATTACTGCACATGCTAAAATACAGCTGTTTTCCGTCACTGCCGAATACAGCAAAAACATTTGTGGCAAGTGTATTCTGAAAATGGCTGTGGCAGTTGCAGGATAAAAGTATACATGCCTTTCCTACTTTGATTTTCAGGAAACAAGTTACAACTATTTTTTTGTATGTTTTTATTTATCAATCGGTTGATTGGAACTGTATTCTTCATTTTCAGCAGTAGGATGTTGACTAAATACCATTAATCAATGCGCAGTTTCAAATTTTTGGTTTCTTATTTAATTTTTTAGTACTTCCCATATTGTTTTAATATAATCTGAAACAGCCCATGCTGTCCCACTTCTGTGTATGTTTGACCTTGATTGAAATGTGTTCATATTGAACGTAATCAGTTAATTTCCAACCATACATATATAACACAAAATGCTGTTATCTGTAACTTGATGTACTTCTGTGGTAAATGTGTACAATTACACTGGTGATTCTGTCAATAATTCATAGGCAAAGAATGTTATTTACAAACTGTTCTATACATTTACAAACTCACATTCCACTTATTGTTCCTTGTTGACATATACTCGTAGCCATTGGATGTTGGGACTACCAAGCTGTATACATCTAAATACACATACAGGAAAGATAACTCAATCATCTTCATATTCATCTGAATAAAATGATACACATTTTTTTAAATTCTTAAAGTTTTCCGGGCAGATATGGTATGAAAAGAAATATTTTTCATTTTTTTTTTCTCAAAAATGCAAGATTATATATAAAACCATTTCAATGATATATACTGTGTAATTATCAAGATTTCAGCCTATTTCTAAGCCCACCAAATATTTCTATATTTATCACATAATCCACTTTTATTCAGTGAGTGAACATGCTCATGTAGTATTTTTGTGGATAGTCATTAGTGAACCCAGGAATACTTTTTCATTGACTTATCATTCAGAAATGTATTGGGAGGTCATAATGTGGACCAAGAGGTTATGTCATGAAAAAGTAACACAACAAAATGTCTTTCTTCTTTTGATGACTGTGTCGGATCTACATTTTTGACTAAAAAAACATAACAAAATGTAACTTTTGAGAGTCGTTATTTAAAAAAAGTATCAGTTTTGTTTTCATTTCATACAACTTTTTTTGAATTTTTTTCACTGCTTAAAAATGAAACTTTTCAGAGTCACTATTTAAAAAATATCTGTCTTTCATATAACAATTAATGAAACTTGTTTTGAAGTTTTTGATGTTGCTTAAAAATGTAAAATCTCATCATAAATGAAACGTTATTTAAGATCCTGTATATATTTACAGTAGAGTGTAGCAGTGAAGTAGAATTACAAAAATAAACATCGTGCATCTCTACTACTCATTGGTCCTGCAACAAACTGAAGCCATGATCAATTAAAGTCAGAATTTGTTGTTTTCAGGATAAAGGTAGCCCTTGGTAGTGTTTTAATGTAAAAGAATTTTGCCTTATTATTAATGTAAACCAACACTTGAGGTATTTGTAAGTGTTATTGTTAGCACCTGCTCTATGTATATACCATTAAATAAGTATAATTGAAAGATCTACCATGGCACTGCATATAGTACATGATTGTGGTACAATCCGTTAATGAAGTATGGACAAGTATAAGGGGTCACATTCTGATTCATGGTGTTCCCAATGACATGTACGTATGCCCAGCTGAAGGTTTCCTTCCACAATAGACATCCCACTCCTAGAGGAGAGGTTACAGAACTGCTTGCTTCCGTTGGAACAATCAAGTGTGTTTATTCTAAATTGACACTATCATAACTTCTGTAACAATTATTGTAAAATATATAAGGTTTAAAAAGTTATATATAAAATTAAGTTACAGAAAGATTATATAAAATTAGGTTAAAGCGATTATCACAGATTCAGGTTGAGTAGCTATATACTATGTACTGTATAATAGTACTTAATCCTTTATAAAGCCGTCCAATCCTTGACATTTCACTGATAAATCTACTATGTATAATCCTTGATATTGCTGCGTATTTGAATCATGTTTTTTTTATCAAACTCGATGATCCAAAGAGCAAATATGAATATTTTTGAAAAAAAAAATGTTTTTGATGATGAAGTTCTTGAATGTGGTAGTGTTTGTCATCAATATACACTAACACCTGTACTTGTGATAATTTATCCCATATTTGGTGTTTTAGTTACTTTACAAAAAAAATAGAATGCATATAATTGATTTCACATGTAGGCAACAGATATATGCCTAAAAGAAGTTTGGGTGGGGGGAGGGGGAACATGTTTAGCTCACCTGGTCCTACTGTGAAAAAAAATTTAAATGAAATTAATTTAGAATAATTTTGAATTTATATGTAAATGATTTGAAATTAAAATATTTGTGTACCTTAAAGCATTGAATAGCAGATGACTGTTGCTGAGGCCCAATGGGCCTCTTGTTGATTTTGTCATGTTGATGAATGTTTTTATTTTCGTCAGTTACAATAATACTGAAATAATTAGTATTTCGGTGGTTTTAGAGCAATGCACATCTGATACCCTACTCGCATGTCACGTTACAAAGCAAAGTGGATACCCCAATCATCCGTTACCTTACATAACACATTTGCTACCCCACTCACATGTTCAGTTACATAGCAAAGTGGATCCCCCCATTTGTCTGTTATAACTGACTTACATACATACTCACTATACTCTTGCGTGTGGTGTTCTGAAGCACAGACTTTACAGTTGAATCCTGTCTCCTTATTTCTCCATAAAATTTTGCCATTTAAACTTTTATGGCTGAAGCTACATATTTCGTCTTGGTAACTGCAAATATAAAACAAAATTAACAAAGCCAATGAACCATGAAATTAAAGTATTTATATTAATTATTAATCATCTCTCTCTGCTAGAAAAGAGGTTTTATTTTTAGATATAATCTTGTTTAAAAGAGATATACCAATGTATTTTTGTAGGGCAGAGGCTAAAATTCAGGGTAAATTTTTTATTATTTGCAATTGGCATATATCCCTTGTGGAATTTTCAGAAAGCTGCATGCAAAGTGCATGGCTTTATATAGGATACATGTATTATCCAGACTTAATGTTGGTGAGTGAAACAATCCTATTATTTATTGACATAAAATTTCATTCCATTGCATCGTTAAGTGCTCCTGTTTTAGACAATACAGTTTTAACCCTGATATGCGCTTTCTTTTAAATGTAAATATGACATTGCCAATTTTGTGCTTAATGTTTGCACAGCAACCTATATATATATACCTCTGGTAGGTAAATGGGATGAAATGACTGATGATTGTGGTGACTGTATATCAAAGCGGATATGACCGGCTTTCTGTACAGGTGAAACAGGTGCAATTTATGCTTACAAATTATCAACCATTTACAGTGATCATATACCTGATGTGAAGTATGTACCCATTGCCACATCACATATCATAAGTAATAGGTGTATGTATTCAAAGTTATGTATTTACCAAGCAGTAGGGCCAACACTTTGAAGTCTACGCAACGTTAATATGTGTATTTATCTAGCAGTACACTAAAGTCTAACTTTCGGGAATTGTATAAATCTATCTCATCTCTTGTAGATCAGTAGAACCATTTCCCCACACCAGAAATAGACAAAGATTAACAACTTGTAGTTTTCTGCTGAAAGAAAAACAAACAAAAACCTATATTTCTATTTTACTTTACAGATAACTCTGGTGTAATCCATTTTGACTCCTGTACCAAAGCAGTGATGGCAGAAGTCTCACAGTCCCAGGAAAATATTAAAGAAAAGGTAAACTTTGAAAAACAGCATAGAGCTTGGTCTTCCTTATTCTCTCTTTGAAGTTATCTCCCCTTATGATACCCTCCCTGAGCCACCCCTTTCTCTCTAGGCTAAAGCTACACCATTATTTTGGTGTTGATAAGTTTATACATTTTCCATTCACCATTGACTATCTGGAGTAAACTTCCCTTTTATCCCAAATATGGAATATAACTTACATCATTTAGGCATGTCATTTGAGTGTCAAGGGTACAAAATTAAGCTTTTAAATTCTGTATTTATAAGTCTCAGTGATCTTTTGGATCCCCTTTTGTTCTGCGTCGTTTGTCTTGGTCCATTGTGCATCATAACCAATTTCCATTTTTGACTGTTTAGGTCATTTGACCCAAAGGGTCATGTTGACCTATAGTCATTATGTTTTGTCCATTGCCATGCACCATGCTTAAACTTTTGACATTTCAAACTTCTTCCTCAGTTCTACAAATGGGTTTGAGGTCGAACTTGCATGAAATCAGGTGGTCCTGACTTTGTGTTGTTATTTTTCGGGTATGTCTAAATTAAAGATGATGCCATGGCTGCCATCCTGAAAAACATATTTTAAACTTCTTCTCCAGTTCCACTGGTGCTATTGAGCTAAAAATTGGTTGGAATGTTAAGGAAAGGTTACCAACAAAGTGTTGTTATTTTTCGACCTTGTCAAAACTTCGATACAGCAGCCAGGGAGACCATTTTGTAATGTAATTGCGCAATCATGGTTTTTCCTGTGCAACACCTATTTCAAACTACCAAGCTACCAAGTGTTTATATTATTGACCTTGACCAATGGTCAAAGTAAATCTTGTTATATATGTCAAAATCTTCTCAATAACCAAAGGACTTAGGGTTGTTATATTTGGTCTGTGGCATGCTGGGATGAAAGGTTACTGATTTTGTTTGTGATTGACCTTTTCACTTTTCAAAGGACACAGGGGGTCAAATGTGTTAAAACCTTCAAATGACTCCTTCTTAATATTAAAATTTTGATATTGGTTCTTTAACATAAGTGGACAAAAGGCCTTGATGTATACTCAAGATCTCTTGGGTCAAATGAGTTGAGATCTTAAAATATCTTTTTCAACAGCCAATAGGTCCGGAGTAATGACATTTGTGTATGTTAAGAATATAAGTTTACAGAAAATGTTTTTATGAACCAACAATGTCTTCTTTGTAAGCTGTAGAGTAGTTGAGCAATATTTTAGGCCAGTTTCGCCTCTTGTATAGATAGGCATTTATAGTCAGATGACCATTAATGCCTGTGGGCCTGTTTGATTAGATGAATTTATTTATTATCTTTCAGAAATAGTTTAAACTTGGTTGAATTATTAGTATAAGATGACAGTGTGATGAGATGCACATTTGACTTTGTGTCTTCCAGTGCTTACCAATCTTGTGAATTTTAAGTCCCCCCAGGGTCACATTTCTGCTTTTGGAGGGAGTAAAATTTATTAGTCCCGTGCCAGTGTTTTGCACAGTTTACATTTGCATTACAGTATGCATGTAATGTAGTGAAAAGATCTTACTTTAACAAAATCATTTATTAATTACAAGAGGGGTTGTAATTCTGGTGACATTTACAAGGCATTAAAAACAAACTTTCAATATAAGTCCTATCTATCATGATTCAATCATTTGTTAATCGTTTTTCTTGATTTCATCCTGCGTGTCCAATTATTATTTATGATGAACCATTTACCTTGACATCAATTTGCATAATTATGCATGCATTAGTTTAACACTATTTTTAATGTTGTATCTATTGATTGTGTATCATATACTTCCATATATATAGCTAGGTAACTATGTTAATGTCCTTGCATTATTCATAAATACAATACCGAATTCTAAACAAGAACTAAAATTGCGGATGTCACCAAACACCCACAACATATCCGTAAAACAAATTTGCCCTCTTTAAAAAGTAGACCTGAAAAAAGCATAAGGTGCATAACCAGATATCATGCTCATTATGTATGCAAAGTTTCACGAGAATCCCTTTGGTAGATTCTTAGAGTATCTGAGGCCAAAAACGGTGAAGGAATAATAAAAATGATATTTAGAAACAGAACAATAACAACAAATTCCTTAGACTTTGTTGGGATGACTTCATTGAATTTTTATGTTTAATTCAGTGATATTGTTTTTATAGTGAAATGTAATTTTTGATCAGTTGAACACTATCATGTATAGTATCATCAAACTTCTGGTTTCATCACTGTGTTAAGTAAAATATCATGACATCATGAAATTATAAAATATATAAACATGTATATTCAGTGTATATGCATATATTATAGCATTTTGAAACTGTTTAAAGTCATTGATGATGTTACTGCTGCAGTGTAATTTGTTAGGATGTTAGAAGATAGATTTTTATCACGATTGTTGATAAAAAGTTTGAAATTTTACCATTACAAATTTTTGATATATATATTGTTACATATTTTTGATATATATTCAAAAAATACTATTGGTTCAAGGACTGTCAATGGTGGCACTGATATATTCATATCAATATCATTGAAACAAAAATGGCTGCTATTGATTATGTCAATTCTTCTGCAGCAAGTGTCCGTATTGTCTTTATTATGTCTACTATCATAGACAGTGACATAAATTTTGAAAAAGCAGTCAGTATTGGTACGTATTTCATATATGGATATTTTTTTCATTTTAGAAATCACTGTTCTATACTTATTTTTTAAGTCTGTTTCTTTCTCGGTCTAAGACACATATGAAAATAATTTGAAAATGTTTTGATTTTTTTAACAGGTAAATGCTGTTCGTGAAGTGGTCCTGGGAAAAAGTAACAACGAAATCATACTTGTATTGCAGTATTATGATTACAATGTGGAAAAGGCCATACAAGCTTATCTTGAAGGTAAATATTTTATATCTACTTTAAGTGCACAGAAAGGCCATACAAGCTTATCTCTAAGTGCAGGAAAAATGTCATACAAGTTTATCTTGAACGTAAATATTTTACTAAGTGCAGGAAAAATGTCATACAAGTTTATCTTGAAGGTAAATATTTTATATCGTCTCAGAGAAATTAACATGTTACAAAATACAATAAATTTTGTTATGTTGTGTAGAGATGATTATGTCGGAGAATTTTTGTTACCAGCCTAAAATTATATTTTTTATTGAGGTTGGCATTAATCCTGTGCTGAATTTTGCAGATGGTGCTAAGTCAGCTTTGACGGAATGGCATTTCTCTGGCCCAAAGGTTAGTACATTTACACCAGAAGTATAATCCAAAGATAATTGGGTGTATAGAGAGATATTTATACATTTTAAAGAACAAATAATCAATTCTGTTATATATCTCATAGCAAAGTAGTGTCTATGTGTTCAACAACACTTCTTAGATAAAAGTAATATGAAGAAGTCAATATAGGATTGTGAGACACTGTCAAATATATGATCTAATTATATACATATTTTAATTGTAAAAGAAAAAAAAATTGTATGTTTGGAAAATCAGGTCCTTTTGTGTTACATGCTCTGAACGTGGAAATTTACAGGGGGGTGAAATTTACACTAGTTGTGTGAAGGTATTGAAATCATGAGAGTTTTACCCATGCATATTATTTCATGACATGCTTAAATTATATAGATGAAATGAAATGAAAATTGATTGCGTAAATAACCCCAATGCTTATAGTTCACCCATACAAGTCACGAAATTAGCCCTCTGCGAGAGTTTCCATGGTTACAATACAGCATTAAAGAATTAGGGATGAACATTCACACCTGTACAGTGTGTACATGTATATATAGACTTGAGGCCAATCAAGCAGAACAACATAAAATTCAATAATAGCCAACCACCATGTGTAATAATTGCAATTTGATTACCAGGTGTAGACTTAGAGACCCTTGAAACATTCATTGATTTTTTTTAGATGTAAAGATAAACACATCTTGTTACCTTGAGATTCAAGGCCAGAATCCTTCTCCATTTAAAGTGATATATACCGATACTTTTCGTTGGAATAATATTATCTGAGTAATTATATGATTAAAGCAATACAGAAATAATCAGAGAAAAATATATGATATAATACTAACTTCAGTTTACTTCATGTTATATCAAATAATGTTCTCTTTCGATTCATGTTAAGAAAAGGATTTCAGAAAGCCATGTTAAAAATTTGACAATAAAGCAGATAGATTGATTTTATAGACATTTGAATTTTTGTGCATGTGATAATATCGAAAATAAGGTCAACTTCTTAATATATCTGGACATGAAAATCATATGTTTACTTACTATGCATAAATTTTTTTTTACTGTTTCTTGATAATATTATACCCCTACCTCACCACAAACACCTAGTTAAAGGTGGTTATATATTATTCTTAAACCGTCCACTTTGGATCTGAAGGATACTTGTAAATTTCTTTTTATAATGACAAGTCTTTGTATACAAAATATTTGAGCTGCTTTACTGCATCACATGTACTGTTGGCGTCTTTGTTTTAACTTCACATCATGTACATCGCTGAAGTTTTTATTATGTACCACAATATTTTTAATTTGCTCATGTACAGTATTAAAGTTTTTTTTATTAATTTTAGATACGATATTGCAGTTTTATAGTGTCTAATAAGTCAATGTCGGCTGGATATCAGTATCTGTGTGTCTTTAAGTTATGAAAATTGTTTACTACTTGTAATATCAATATGTGACGCTTAAATGAATTGTATTGTACGATAATCTTTTTGTGACTGTGTTTATGATAACATAGTGTACAATGTATAGCATGAACTCATGGACAGATCTGGTTCCATATCCCCTATATGTTTTAACCAATGAGGTTGCACAAATTTATCACTTTTCACTTATTTGTTAAAAATGGGAAAGGTGCCAAGGTTTGATTGTGACTAAATAAGTAGGTTTGTAGTACATGTACATTATGTATTGTCTCCTATTCTGTTCATTGGATAAGTCTATTGTGACAGTAACCTGATTTTTTTTAATTTCGAAGGTTGCCAGTAAAAAGAAGAAAAACAAGAAAAAGTCCGGGAAAACAACAAATGGGGATGACATGTCACCAACTCAAAATGGTGATGTCTCTGATCACATAGGAGAGTCTTTGGCCAATGGGGTTCTGGAAAATGGTATAATATCTTAAGAAAATTCTGGCTATATTTTTTCTCTTCTTCCTGATAAAAGTTGATATGAAATGTCACTGTTATTTGAGGATAAGATTGACTTCTTGTCATTGGTTCAAAGATTTTTAATGTATAAAGGTGTTTTGAGATAGTCACTTTCCAGCGTTTGTATGAGTGACATGTCTTATTTTCATAATGATATTGTGGATAGAAGATGAATTTAACAGTGTTACTGCAATATATACAGCAAATTAGCATTTTTTTATATGTTGCATTGTTCTTATGCAGATTTCATGTAACTCTTAAATTTTGAAATTTGTTAGAAATTTGGAAATTCCCTTAGGAAATTGTGTGAAATTCTTTATTTTTTTTACAAAAACTTGCATTAACAAAATTTCTGTTTCATCAGTGTCGCATGAATAAACCATATTCTGTTTAACACATGTTTATATCTAAATAAAATGAAAAAATATTGAAAGAAAAAATTCAGAACTTATTTCAAATCTTCAATATTTTGTACTACATGAACTCTAAAAAGTTGTTGCCATCTGTAATATTTTTAGGAACATGTGCAATTAAATTAGGAATAGAAGAAGAGACAACTGGAGGAGGAGGGGACAATATCACTCCTGATCTTCCTGCCTCATCTAGTATTGTTAATGGAGTAATAACTTCCACAGTTACATCACATGACCTGGGGGCCAAGGCTTCAGAAGACCAATCACATGATCAGGAAGTAGAGTCACCACAAGTTGCTCCATCCCTACCTCAGCGACAACCTCATCAGAATCACCACAGGCAGCGCTTACATTCAGGTTTGTTGCCATAACCATGGATGTCAGATTGGTATATATTAATACAAGATGCATTGCAGAGCAAAAATATTTGTTTGATGCAACACTACCAAACATAAATCCTATGAAAATGCTATTAACTTACCATGAAAATACCATTAAAGCATGAGAAAGCATGAAAATGACCATGAAATTTTGTAGCATGAAAAACTCATGGGTTGATACAAAGGTAGAAAAAACTTTGAATTGATAAGCAAAACCATGAAATATTGATGAATAATTTAATTTACAAGATCAACGTTGTTCATGGCGATGACATTTTGCATTTAAATATAATTAATGGGTAATTCTTGGCAATGGAAAATTTCAAAAGAATACAGGATGGCAGTGATTTGTCACTTCAATGTATATATAGCTTCAGTAGAAAAAATAAATGCAAGCTGGTACTTATGTGGACATGAATTTTACACAATGTTTCTGTAACAATACTTCCTATCTTATGGTGGTATATTATATGTTTATAGGATCTCATTCAAGTTCCAACAGGCAGAGATCAGCAAGTGAACGAAGCACTTCATCTAATGTGTCATCAGATAGTAGACCAGTGAAGCGGAAAGTTCACGGAGGTAAGAGGTCACAGACCTGTCAAGTGTTAGGTTCATGGAGGTAAGAGGTCACAGACCTGTCAAGTGTAAAGTTCATGAGGGTAAGAGGTCACAGACCTGCCAAGCATAAAATTCCTGGACGCAAGAGGTCACAGACCTGTCAAGTGTTAGGTTCATGGAGGTAAGAGGTCACAGACCTGTCAAGCATAGAATTTCTGCAGGTAAGAGGTCACAGACCTGTCAAGCATAAAATTTCTGCAGGTAAGAGGTCACTGACCTGTCAAGTGTTAAGTTCATGGAGGTAAGAGGTCACAGACCTGTCAAGTGTAAAGTTCATGAGGGTATGAGGTCACAGACCTGCCAAGCATAAAATTCCTGCAGGTAAGAGGTCACAGACCTGTCAAGTGTTAGGTTCATGGAGGTAAGAGGTCACAGACCTGTTAAGCATAAAATTCCTGGAGGTAAGAGGTCACTGACATGTCAAGTGTAAAGTTCATGGAGGTAAGAGGTCACAGACCTGTCAAGCATAAAATTAATGAGTAAGAGCATACAAAATAGTAAAGTGCAAAGTGCACAGAGGTAGGACACACAAAGTGTATGCCTTTCTGTATGTGACATTGAGCCCATACATGTAAAAGCATTACTTGATTTGTAAACCATTTTTATTGCACATTTGTACCATTAGTTTGAAGGTGAAAAAAGATATATAACATCTTGTTAATGTTTCAGGTATGGAAAAATCCATGAAAGACCTTCACAGACAGACAGTGTCACTTGAGAGGCTGAGGATGGTGATGAATGAAGAGGTGGACAAAAACTTTAAGAGGATCAAGGCTGTGTTTGAGGAAGTTAGGACATGGTAGGTTATCAAGACAAACCTCAGCTGAAGTCTAATCATATGAGTGTTAAATGTTTCATTGATACATATACACACAACAAAACCAAATGTCCATAATGTTATAGAGTATATATAGTTCTATAATATAGACATGCACAATATACCGGTACATCAAATTAAATTTTTTCAGATCCATGCCTAGTTGACTTTCTTTACTATTACTTCAAGGAAAATTGGCTGCTAATGTTACTACGTGATACTGTTTAATAAAATTTGGAGTCCCCAAATGGAATATTATGTTTTCTGGAATATCCCTGAGATTTGTATCCAAAAGGAATGTTTCCTAGACTTATCAAATAACATTTCACTTATGATAGTTCTGTCACTTTTTTGTAAGGCTTTAGTGCCCTTAGACACAACCAGGGCTCTCGATCTTCCAGATGTGGGGCCGATATTTGGCCGAATTCCCAATGCAAAATAGTATTTTTTTTTTCCCAATTTAGATCCCAAGTTTTCTCGATTCTAAGGAAAACACCATTATTTTTTCCCAATTCTAAGGGCCCCTGGCCCCAGTCCCAAAATGGGGTTTTAGAGCCCTGACAACTGATATAGAAACTGTTGATAGAACATCAGAATAATTGGAACTAATCAATAATGATACAAAAGCATCTTGACTAATTTCATTAATTTATATAAGACATTCTTTATCTTAATTTTTACTTCTTTTACTTTAGTCTCAACAAGAGGGAAGCCGACCTACTGGTAGAGATGGAGAGAGTGAAGGCAGTAGCTAGTAAGTTGTGAAGTGTTGAGAATTAACCAGTCAGAAGAATTTTCAGCATCATCTTGACTGGATTAGATGGCATTTGATTGGCTGGTAGCACTAATTACGAATTTCTCAGAAAGGTCCATTAAGAAAAATTGAAAATGTTGTATTTTAACTAAAAATTAGATTATAGATGTGTTTAGGCCACGATGTGTCTGGATGGCATATTATAAAAGTGTTTTGTCCGTCATCACCAGTTTGGGAAAGGAGGGTGCTGGATAATTGGCTGACAATTGTGATCAGATTAAATTGACTCTTTTTGTGGATTATATAATTTTGTCTGAAATGATTTTGTAAGGTTGGTTGGTATCAGGATCTATACTTGAAATGTATATGGACGAAACGGAGGCTGGAATTGGTCTCAAAAGAGGTCAGAGTAAACAACATTTGAATTAGTTTTAAAATTAAATCTTGAATGTGACGGAACATCTTTGAAATGATCCTTACAAAATTGGTATAAAAATATGTGTTTCTTTTAGATACTGTATTTTAAAATAATGAAACTGAGGGGAAAAGTTGAATGTAAAATGCAATGATTGATATCATATACAGTGAAACATAGATTCAGTCCAGTAAATCTGTCATTTATAAGAACTTTCCACAGCTGTTTCATACTTTATTAAGAATTTGTTTACTTGTTTTTCTATGTATTATTTTGTGGTATGGGTCTTCAAACAATATTGCCAGAAATAATGGGGTTTTATCTGTTAAGAATTTTACGTGGATATTAAGTGAAATGTTATCCTTTTTATTGGTATCTTGTTCAATATAAAATTAGTTCCTGTTTTTGTGGAGGCTTTTGCTATAGTAATCCTACTACAACAGTAGTCTGACCTTCTGTTACGTAAACTTGGCTTCGTCCATGAGCAGTTGATGTGTTTAGATATTGCATTTGAATTGAAAAATGCTTAGATTAGATTGTTTATCAAATGACAACACTGTTATGGTTTTTAAAGTTAGAAACCTCAGGCTGCATAGTTTTCTGTGTAAAAATTTTAGTACTGGTATTGGTAAATACGTAAAACAACAGATACAAGTATTGCTGCAGCTATTATGATATGAAACGGTTGCTTGGTTACGGCATATTGTACAGTTAATTAAAGTAATGCTGAATCATAATATATTTCAAATAAAACACTTAGAAATTATCTAAGTCCCTGTCAGTTGTCTAGCTTATTGGTATGCTATGTGATAGGGTCAAAGGTTCTCGATACGCTATGTGGTAGAGACCAAACAAGGGGAAGTAACTACGGGAGATTAGAATTGGTGCCAGCTACATATCTTTTAGATGTTGTGATGAAAGAAAAGTTTAATTAATGGGGCACTAATTGAGTTTGTACAGCTGTGTGTTACAATAAGTTATGAATGATTATAATACCATAATATAATATAATAATAATTTAAACATTGTTTTCATCTGTACCTTTAACCAATCAAGCACTTCAGTAAGATGTGTGTTACTATGATAACATAGATTTCAAAATATCAAAGTTTATTTGAGGTAATATACAAAGTGTGAGTAAGTTAGGATTAAGCAAACAAATCTCTACTGTCAATGCATTTTCATACACCTCTGAATTCATTATAACATAATTGTTTTTTGGTTTTAAAAACAATTGTTTAGAAATTTTCCTGTTTGTTTTAGTTGCATAATTGATTTTGTGATCAACTCTGATTAAAAAAGAAAAAAAGAAAGGAAATTCAAGTTCTATTTACTTTTTATAAAGAAACTCTCAAAATTGATGTTTGTCAGAAAAAAATGATTTCCACAATACATTAAGAGTTATATCCCTTGAATTGTAAGATAGGCAGCTCCAGGTTTATCTAATGATTTAGGGTAGTTTCATCAGATAAGAGTTAAGAGATGTTTTATTTGTAAAATCATTGTTCAAGTATTTGTTTTCTGAGCATGTCTTTCTTTGCTTCCTACAGATAATACATTTGCTTCTCGTCAAAAAACGGCAGCTGACTTGAAAGTGATGGTAGATCGATCAGAAGCAATGACTGAAGAGGAACTAGCCAAACTTCGCACAGATATTAAAGTATGAAATTTCTTTGATAGTCACTCACCTGTTGAAATTTTGTTTTTAATATGTGTTTTATGGTTCTCATAATTGTCTCTTTCACAAAAATTTTATTAGTATATTTTTGTTTTGCGATATCATTGTTTAAATATTCGGCTAAGATATTGGTAAAAATTTCTATATACCATGTATTATTTTATTACTGCAGCACTTCATTGGAGATAGGAAAATTGATGAAGAACTCAGTCGGACGACTCGTTTTTTGTATGATTCTGACTTTCTGAAGCTGGTAAGCGTTTTGTAATTATTTTTTCTGCTTGGACTTAACAATGATTTAAATTTCACTGTTTTAGTTTTAACGCAAGAAACATATTATGATTGAATTTCGTTATCATTATTTGCAGCATATTGCATTTATTTAAAATAGATTTACCAATACTGTAAAAACCCACCTAGTGTGCACAATTTTTCTAAAGAAATTAAGGATCACAAGCTGGGGCTAACTTTATGTAATCACTTAAACTTGTTGAATATTTTTGCAAGGCCTATGATTCTTAAATAGTTTACAAGGGTTAAATTTCACAACAATTTGAAAAACATCTTTTTTAATGACATGTACAGAAAACTGAAATATATTTAGATTACATGTTTTCCATATTCTCTCTTGCAGGAAGTGGGACGTTTTGGTGAAGGTAAGTTTTGAAATGTAACAAAGATTTAATAGTGATCCTGCTCATAATATACACACTGTACTATCTGACTACGTATACAAAAGTGAACCACTTCAGGAATTACTACCGTTGTGTACAGAATACATGTATCTCATCTATTCTCAGTTTAGCTCATACTTGCACTATTACCACACTATATACCAGAAAATCTTTCTATGCAATATTTCAGCACAACTTACCATGTTATTAATGCAAATAGAACACCAACAAAAATTTAAGCACATATTTCAATACAAAATACACAACTTACAATACAAAATAAAAACACGACTTACAATACAAATTAGAAACAAAATTGACAATCCAAAATAGAAACACGACTTATACAAAATAGAAACACAGCTTGCAATACAAAACATAAGCACAACTTAAAAAAAATTAAGCAAAATATACGACATAAGATTTAAGCACAAGAGATAAATACTTACACAGTATGAAGTTTTGTTTGTTTTATATGACAGTTGTTCCAGTAAAGACGGCATATTCCTCACACCCCTCATATGTTGTGGATAAAACACCCTCACCAGACCCCCCACGTGTGGAGACCCCTAGGGTGGACCCTGTGGAATCGCAACCAACTGTGAATCATGGTAAGTCACATTTCATTTGTTGTAAGGGAAATAAATGTGTAGGCTTCAAGAGGGGTAAGGTAAGGTATGTATATATGAATTTGGTTTTCAACTTGTCTTCTGTACAGACTTAAAATCAATTCTTGATGCAGGATCTAGTTTTAGTATTGAGTATTGACATAGTTGGCAGTAATTAGCAATGTGCTTTGTATGAAACAATTTAGATAAGCATTATTATTTCATAATGATATCTTTATGGCACTATATGTGGATTTTATATTGATTTTGAAGACAACATTCTTGTCTTCTCAAAGGCTAGGAGTATGTTATAGCAGATGTAAAACTTTCTTGTATAAAGCATAAGACAATATTTACTTTATGCCACTTATAATTACTTTCGCCCCATTTTAAATTGATAAAGTTGACAGATATGTGGAGCAAGAAGTAAAGACAGAAATAGTCAGTTTTATCATTTAAGTGTTTTATCAAACTTTAAATCCATACATCGTTTCATTGGTTGTGTCAGAATTATAAAGAAAGCTTAAGTGTAGATATAATGGACTGGGATATTACGATGTTATCTCTAGAAAATAAATTACAGTATTATCATCAGAAATATATTATACTCATCAGTCTACTACTGGTTACAGATAAATATATGAGCATGTCTTCTCAAGTTACCTTAATTAGAGTGACCTATTGTCAGCAGTTGATTTCGATCTATAGGTATGGTGACTTTGTCAAATTTTGAATTTAACATTTTTGGCAAAAATTGAGTTGGACCTGCAGTTATTTTATTCATGCTTTGAAGGAATTTGTTAAGGCTTGTCAGAGAGCAAACTGATATTTATAGTTTTATTTTACTTTAATAAAACAAATAACTTTAGTCCAACAGGCCACATAGATGAATGAAAGCCCTCTTCCCCTAAATGACTACCATTGTGGAAGAAGGTAGATAACTCCACGATTTTCCTTATGCACATGTCATTGATTCAGGATGTAATATAGATATGTGCAATTTTTTTTGTAGCATCAAAGCACCCTAATCACGAAGAAATGTTAACTTCTGAAGAAGCACATGACATGGCAGAGTTACAAAAAAGACTGAAAGGATCATTAAAATTACAGGTAACTAGAACAAAAATTATAAGCACTGACTTCAGTGATAAGTGGATTCATAGTTTTCTCTGTGTTCTCACTATCATATCTCAATAACTAGTATTTTTTGCCTAGGTCCAACTTATGTCAACGTTCAAGTATTTCACTCCAAATGTTACTGAAAATGACATACATATAAAACAATTATTATTGGAATATTCAGAGCAAAAATGCAATATATGACAAAAATGTTTGTACTGAAAAGTAATTTGCACAGATTCTCCACTATCTGGTCATTGTTATGTTATGTTTCTTGTGTTGTTTCCCACATTTGAGTTGTCTCTCCTCTTCAGGGCCTAGACAATACCAAGAAAGATGACAGTTCAAGGCCAGCCACAGCTCCAGCTGCAGATAACTTGTCTCAGTCAGACCAATCCTCCTCAACTCGTGGAGCATGTAAGTATTGTCAACAGTTTAACATTGTTTGACAAGTCTCAGTTGTAGTGCCTTGACGTCACCTATTAACTTATAAAGGGAACAGCAGGACTAACAAAAATGTATTTTTATCTAAAGTGAAATTTGAAATACAATCAAACATAATTTTTTCAAAGTTTAAGGGACTAACAAAAAAAATTGATAAATTGAGACTTCAAATCATTCGTGGTTGGTTATATCAACTTTTTCACATGACCATTGTCAATGATACAACATTTCTACTTCAATAGTTAAAGAGAACACTTAAACAAAGTTTAAATAAAAGAGACATTTTCATTTATGAAACATTTTATCCCTTCTATTCTATGATTTTAACAGAAATTATTCAGAAATAGCCAATACAGATTTAAGTTTATATATTTCTCCATTAGGTACATCTAGTTTATATTTTATAGATTGATTTTAAATGCTGGACTTGCGAGGTCAATACATATAAAAGTTAAGGATCAGCTCTGTTTCCACAAATCTGTAATTAGACCTTTCTATATGTTATTATTGCAATGGTTCGGTGAATATTACAGATGATTTTATAGTTGTTGGTTAAATGTCATGGCCTGTAATTTAACTTTAATCTCTATCCAGCCTCTCGTAAACATTGAAACAAAATGTAAACAAGGGCATGTTATTGAAATCCTTTGTCAGATAGCGCTTTTGTGGAAATGTGTGAAATTATGCCACAGATTCAAATTACCTGTACAATAAATTTTTGTTTGTGAATTGTCTATGACTGTGTTATCATAGCTAATTATCTGTAATAAAACTTCAATACACCTTAAGGTTTTTGATATTAAACTTGGATTTATAAATGGTAAGTTACTAGTTTAATATAGTTATAAAATTTAGGACCAGGCAAAAAATTTGATACATTGAGAAATTTGAATCATGGAAGTTTGATTCATAGAAATTTGACTGTTATGCCCTTATTAGATTAATTTTAAACTTTTTGTCAATCAGTGATTGGTGATTGAATGGTTGGTTGATATGAAAAAAAAATGAAAATTGATTTAAGACATATTGACACGTATTATTGTATCATTTTTCCACGTTTATATCTCAGAAAATTGAAAGTAAAGGAAGAAAATACCCACAGTGTGAGTAGGTGTGAGTATAAAGTGGATGTTTTATATATATTGCAGATGATCCACGTAGAAACAGACGATCTCGCCCACGTCGTGACGGACCTAGGGGTGGGTATAGTGGAGATGGTGGTTCTCGAGGAGGTTATTATAATGAGGGAGGTTCTAGATATAATGGAGAAGGAGGTCGTCGCCCAACTGAATATCACAATAGTAATAGAGGTCAAAAAGCAGGAGACAACACTGTGCATATAGGTCGTCAGTCGCAGTCTTCAGGGAGGGGCGGTAGAGGCAGTCCCAGAGGGCGCGGGTCAGGGAGACCAAGGAGTCCAAGGAAAGAAGGCCCTGGGGGCCCCAGAAACTCCCCCGGGAGTCAAGGCAATACCACACAACAGATGCCGCAGCCAACCTGATCCTATTACCAAGTCACCTACGCAAAACTGAATGTGGAGTCTGCTGCAGTGTAATGGTACAGCAAATATGCAAAGTGTTAACAGTATTTAGAGACACAGGTTTAGGGGCCAGTGTATTCAATGAATGTTAAGTGAATTACATGATGGGATATTCCTTGTTACAATGAATTTTTTATAACTATGTTTCAACTCGCAAAAGCAAATGTCACCTTTTTGTTTGCATCTTTCATCTTTCAAAATAAGAGAAACATTTCCTTAAACTATTAGTGGATTATTGTTTTCTTTTGTACAAGAGTAAAACTACATGTAACCCATTACATGGATGTAAGTGGTTTGAGTTTTAAATCAACATTATTTTTGTAAACATTTTCCTCATGTAACCAATTGAATGTTTCGGAAACATTCCACAGATTTTTGGCAAAAATGTTCCCTATAGCATTACATTGATACACAGTTTAACTGGATAATTTATGCATCTGTATTTTCATTTACTTTTTCTTTTGGTTTTGTCATTTGGCCTCGCCCTCATCATTTTCCAATTAAGGGTATGTTTGTTTTGTGTAGGGAGTCAGTAGAAATACTTCAAAGTGTTGCCAGTCAAATATGTGATTGTTATATATTATATATTTTATTTGTCCATAAAATAATAAAAAAAATATATATATTTTTGCTGAAAGTCATTAAGTGTTTTTTGGGGGATTTAAGGAGTTGGTATTATCTGTTAATTATTTGAATGACAATTTTTTGTCTTTTTCATCATCCATATTTTCATAACATGTTCATGAATAGGTTTTGTTTGTTGTTCTTTGCAATTTGAATTGTTGATTACATAAGACTTTGTACACAATGGTTGGAATATGGAGGAGAGTCACAATATTTGTTGAATTTTGTGTATAGGTTCTTTTTTATTATTTCATTTTTTTTCCAGTATTCATTCTTAGGAATACATGTATGCTTTACACTAAGCTTTTCTTGTGAATTTTATAACATGAGGATAACTAGACATATGTAATTAATTTTAGGAGAATCTGACAAAGGCTGAAGTACTTAAAGTTATATCTTGAGAACTGCTCAACCAATTTCATTTATGTTTATCCCATCATTCATTAGTCAAGGTTAAAATGTCAAAAGGTGACATTTGACAACTTCTGCAAATGCATTAAGCAATGATTCTTATAAGCATGAGAGTTGAGGTATTCATGTCTGACTGACATTTTCTACTTTCATGAAGGTCTTTCATTGTTTAAAAAATCTAGAATTTTTTCATAAAAATCTTTTGTTGTAATCACAAAATCGTTTGTTTTGCATTACAAGCAAATGCTCATATTCCTTTCCATGTGGTCTCTCATTATTATCCTATGATTATATAACAAAATATTAATTTTTTGCAACCATGGTTACTGTATAAAATCTTCACCTATTCTGTGGTAGTTTAGATATGATATATACAATGTGATCTTACAGAATTATGATTTTACGGGTGTAACCTTCGACAAAACATGTTTATAAATGGTAATTAACTTAGCACCTTGAAAATCAACAAATCTGCTTGTTTCTTTTTGTCATAAGATTAATATTATTAAGAAATGTTTCATAGGAAATTTCAAGGAAATATCAGGCTATTTATATGTTGTAGTTATTTCGTGCAATATCTCGGAGAGTACTTTGAGGTAACCTACATATGAATGAAAACTCTGTGGTGGAGATTGATCATTATGATTTTGCAGACAGGTGATTTTAGAAAGAATTTATATTGACTTTGACTAGAATAAGGCGTCAAAATGGAGTACAATAGTTAGGAAATTAGGAAATGCATTTGAAGTCTAAAGTTATCTTCAGATACAAAAGTTGTCTCCCTTCAACTATTAGTATTTTGAAGTAACATGATCTATTAACATTCACATACAAGTAAAAATGCAACTGATTTGATCAGACATCGCAGTTTTGGGGTTTTAATGAAAGAATACATAACCTACCTCCTAGATTTTGTTTTTCAAAAAAAATTCAATAGTGTTGGTGCAATCTGCGGTTAAAAAATGTAAAGCTAAAGTCTGTGAAGTAAACTTTAGTTGCACATATTTACACAACAGTTGTCCAACATCTTGGAAGTGACTCACTATTTTACTTCATAAAAGATTCTCACACTGGAAAGCATGTAAAATAATGTACACGAATGAATGACTTTGTTAACAGACTGTATGGTATGGTTAGTAATCAAGTATCACCAAAAAGAAAATTAATACAAGAAAAAATGTCTCAATACAAGACCTGATAGAAGGCTAATGTTGCTTATATGATATCAAAGGTAAAAGGGTAAATTAATTTATATTAATCATTGAGAAACACTTGGTTGATACTAATCAGAATGTCCATGTTATCAGACAGGAATTGAACCCTGGCCATCTGGGTTAATGTGCTTACCACAGCATCATCCGACCTAACCACCCAAATAAAAAGGTACAGATGTCAACAGATGTACTTATATGTGAAGACTTTGTGTTTCCCATTTGTGTTTGATATTATTCTTAATAACAATCTAATTTGTCCATAATCTGAGAAAAGCTCTGTATCATTGCAAGAATTATATGTTTAATGTTGGCAATAAAATTTGATATTATGAGTTCATATTAAAATGAAATTGAATGAATAAAGACTATCAATTTGATATTGTTGGAAACATGCAAGCTTGAATAGGGGTTTATAAGAAGAGATATGATATTAAAGATTTCATAAAAGATAATGAAAAAAGTTGTTTCCATACTACGTCTAGAAAATTACAAAATAGCAAAAAACAAAAACCAAAAGTGTTGATTTTTTTTTTACCTTTGTGTTTTTTTATAACTCAAAAATGGTCTTATTCTCATTTCACATTTATTCAAATTAAGATTTGAAGGTGATTATACAAGGGTTTTTTAATAGATGATATTAATGGAAATGTTACATTATGGGATGTGATATTAAGTGGAGTTGATTTATATTTAATTCACATGTCTTTTTTATATATTGAAGATGGTATATTTAAATATATTTATATGAAAGTGACACATTTGCGACACAATAACATCAAAAATTAAAATATCTGTTCCAGGACCTGTTCATGAAAATTATGATAAACAGGGGAGGAAAATATTAATTCAAATTTTGAGCAGTGTTTGGGAAATATGTAGATGCTATATTAATTTATTTGTGATCAGAATTGATAAAGATTTTCTGTTTCACTGAAGCTTATAGAGTTTAATAGGAAATTATTCACCAACATTTTGGCATTGATTAAACAAATGTCAATTTGATGATTGGCAAGTATGAGAATTTCTCTGGAAAAGAGTTCAGTTTATGAAAATGCTTGAATTGAATAAGGTTTAAGTGTTACAGGTAGATGGAGTAGTGTTGCTGATATTGTGTACAGGGAGTAGACGAATGGATTAAAATGTGCAATCTCTTTGTGAATTTTATTAATTTGTTCATATTATAGTATTTTTGGGTTACATGTTCCTTAACTTCTGTAATTACCACTTATTTGAAGACACAAGTATAAATGGGGAGGCTAGCTTACTTTATAGTCTCTTTGTTTGATGTTTTCTCTTTTAGAAGTTCTATATGAAAACATGTATATTGAATATTTTTACTTAATAAATGTGTGATTGAATGTGAGCTTGCATTCACTAACAAGAACTTTATAATGATACTTAATTATTTACATTCACATTTTTAATGAATGCATGAATTGTATCCAGAACTGGTGTAGCTATTTATTATATCAGAGATTGCTATCAATCTGTACCTGCTCTGTTTATGTATCTCAGATGTGTTTGACAACCAGGATTGTTGGTTTCATAGAACTTAGATGTAGATATAAGTTTACTTGTTTAGTAATCAGATTTCATTTGTTTCATATTTTGTTATTTTACTTCTTGTAGAATCTAGTCAGAGATTATTTTGTTGGGACCTCGTTTGTTCCTAAACCTAAATTCAGGTAATGCTGTCCTAGAGAAGAAGAGAGAGCATGTTATTTATTTGATAGTGCTAACATCATCAAAACATATAATTATTTATATAATTATGGTGAGTAGTGCTGAGTGAAAACAAACAACAAATTGTTAAACTTTGCAAGATGAAAATCATTAAATTGATATCAGATAGTCTCCTGTAAAACTATGTTGGATGAAGGGCACAAAAAATTCAGTGTCGATAAACAAGCCAAAAAATTGAAAATCTTTACAGGATATTGATAAATAGGATTTATTACTAGGAGGTATGGCCCTCCTTTGTTTATGTTGTTTTTTGTTAATATATGTTTCTTAAGATTTTGGGATTTGATTTGTGTTAGAAGTTTAATTTGAATCACAAGGTACTTAATTATTACATGTCATTTCTTCCTTAATTGTTTATATTATGAATTTTTTGACAATCAGTGAAGCAAGGAGAAATTGTCATATTTTATAGATCTTAACAGTGATTTTATGTTAGAAAGGATAATCTTTCCAACAGCAATGTTAGAATTTTAAAGCATTGGCATATCACGTTAATGTACTACACCCTTTTGCAGTCTTGTTTATTTCTTCATTTTTGGTGATAAATTTATGTTGAGAAATACTCTTAAGTCTTTAAATATTATTTAATATTAAAGATAATGTAGTTTGTATCATTGATAGGTTTATAGTTGTTTTCCGTGATATATGAAAAAAAGTATCACATACAATGCATAAGATGACATCTTGGAAAGTAATGGGCAGGTAATGATACGTTGTCTCTTTAACATATGACTTGTGTCTCACTTTTAGTTCAAATCCTTATAAACAGAAAGTGTTTGTCCAGTTCTATGCAAAGGTTTAAACTAAGAAACAGCACAAATAAAACTTCTTCTGGAAGAATACTGTCTGTAGAAGTATATATTCTCTTTTGGAAGTGTGATAATTATTATGTGTTGCCAAATTGAGTGATGAGGACATATTTCAATTACAATGTTCTACATTTTGTTTTGGATATAGATGTACTTTGCTTCACATTAAATCAAATACAGGTCTATATATTGTTGTCATATAGCATGCAGTTTCTTTGATGGCAAAGATTATAGCTTTGCTTCACCGAAATTCTAGTCTACTAC